CTGGAGGTGCTGCTGGAGTGGGTGCTCCTGACGGGCCTACTGGTGCTGTTCCTGCTGTTTCTGGCGTCGCCGCGCGGCCCCGACCGTACTTCGTTCCGCTCCTGCAGCAGGTTCTTGGTCTTGCACCTCCTCCTCCTCCCTTAGAGGGTCCGCAGCCTGTCCGGTCACAGCCACAGCTACAGCCTGCCTCCCCTTTGCCTGCTCCTTCTCCCTACGCTGGTCCGACTGGAGGTCTTACTGAGCGTCGTGAGCCTGCGTCTCGTCCTGCGTCGCCTGTTCGTACTGAGCGCGCCAGTGGTCGCGGGTCGCGTCAGCGTCCTCCTCCTGTCCCTGGCACGCACCGGATGTCACTGCGTCCGTCCACTGCTCCTCTGCGTGCCCCTTTGCCTTCTCCTCCAGCTTCCTCTCTTCCTGCTCTTGCCGACCCGGAGTCGGACTCTCTTCGTGCTGCCAGTCATACTGTCACGCGTCTCCTTGCTACTGCAGTCACTGACCCTTCCTTCGAGTCGTCTGCTGCGTCTGCCCTTGTCACTGAGCTTGTCGACTTTGCTGCGCGCTGTCGTCTAGACTACGCTGCTCGTCTTGTCACTGAGTCTGAGTCCGCCTGTCCTCCGTCCGTCGGGGGTGAGTGTGCCCTTGGCACGGACGTCCTTGAGGACAGGCAGGAGGAGTTCCACTGTCTAGCCGCTGCTTCACCTCGTCTCGCGTCTGTACTGCTAGCCCCTGAGGGAGACCTGGATGCACCAGACATCCCGACTCCGCGCTCTTACGCGGAGGCGATAGAGGGTCCCTACTCCTCTCTGTGGCAGGCAGCTATGGATGCAGAGATGGCTTCCTGGAAGTCCACAGGCACCTACGTTGACGCTGTTCCCCCTCCTGGGGCGAACATCGTCAGTGGCATGTGGATTTTCAGGGTGAAGCGGCCGCCGGGTTCTCCGCCTGTCTTCAAGGCGCGTTACGTGGCTCGTGGCTTCAGTCAGCGGCAGGGGGTTGACTACTTTCAGACCTTCTCCCCCACCCCGAAGATGACCACTCTTCGGGTTCTGCTGCACGTTGCTGCTCACCGCGACTACGAGCTGCACTCTCTCGACTTCAGCACAGCTTTCTTGCAGGGCAGCCTGCACGAGGAGATCTGGCTGCGTCGCCCACCTGGCTTCACTGGGTCTTTCCCTCCTGGTACCCAGTGGAGTCTCCGGCGTCCAGTCTACGGTCTCCGTCAGGCGCCACGTGAGTGGCACGACACACTGAGGACTACGCTCGCGGCACTTGGGTTTGCTCCTTCTACTGCCGACCCGTCGCTGTTTCTGCGCACCGACACCTCTCTACCGCCGTTCTACATCCTCGTGTACGTCGACGACTTGGTCTTTGCCACAGCTAACACTGCTGGACTCGCCTACGTGAAGTCCGAGCTGCAGAAGAGACACACGTGCACTGACCTGGGTGAACTGCGTAGCTACCTTGGCTTGCAGATCACCCGGGACAGAGCACGCCGCACCATTACCCTGACTCAGTCACACATGGTGCAGCAGGTCCTTCAGCGCTTCGGCTTCACGTACTCCTCGCCTCAGGCCACTCCTCTGCCTACTCGCCACTCGCTCTCAGCTCTGCCTTCGGATGAGTCCGTAGAGTCGAGTGGTCCGTTTGCAGAGCTTGTTGGCTGCCTCATGTACCTGATGACCTGCACACGACCTGACCTCGCATACCCTCTTAGCATTCTCGCACGCTTTGTTGCTCCTAGGAGACACCGACCAGAGCACATGGCTGTAGCGAAGAGGGTGTTGCGTTACTTGTGCAGTACGTCGGGCATGGGGCTAGTGCTTGGAGGGCGCAGTCCAGTGGTCCTCACTGGGCACGCAGACGCTTCTTGGGCTGACGACCAGGCTACGCAGCGGTCGTCACAGGGTTACACCTTCAGCCTTGGTTCCGGCTCTGTCTCGTGGCGGGCTACCCGCTCGTCTTCTGTTCTCGGCTCCAGTTGTGAGGCTGAGATCTACGCTGGGGCTATGGCTGCGCAGGAGTTACGCTGGCTCACCTACCTACTGACCGACCTTGGAGAGCAGCCTCGTTCTCCTCCAGTCCTGTACGTAGACAACAAGGCCATGCTGGCCTTGTGTCAAGAGCAGCGACAGGAGCACAGAACGAAGCACATTGCTCTCCGCTACTTTCTTGCTCGTGAGCTACAGCAGCGTGGACAGTTGCGACTTGCGTACGTGGCCTCTGAGGCCAACACTGCTGATGTCTTCACCAAGGCACTTGCGCCTTGTGATCATCAGCGTTGTTGCACGCAGTTGGGTCTTGTGCCTGTCTTGCCTCACTTGCTCTCCTCTTGACCTTGCTTGTACCTTCGCCTATATATACTCTTGCTCTTGCTTGCTTGACTCTTGTATATCTCTATATATGATCTTGCATGTGAACTGGCCGTCTGGCCTTTGAACTTGTGCTCGGAATGCGTGGTGACTTTGTGATCCACCCTGAGCTTTGCTTTGCTTTGCTTGACTGGTCTTGTGACCCCTTGTTCTCCCCCACTTTGCCTATGGGGGTGTGTCAGATTACTATAGCTTATGCATGTTGTAGGCTGTAGTGGGGTAGCACATAAGGGGTACAACCCAATTAGGGTTGGTACTTGTACTGTTTTCATTTCATAGTTCATCATTCCTGTTCATTCAGTTTCACACGCGCCTCTAAAGAGATCTGGCACGCACGCACAGGACATCCAAGCAACACGGTTTTAAATAACACGATAAGAGCAGGAGTTCTTGACAAAGACTCCCTACTTCTACCCGATGGCAGAGAACTCCAAAAGGCACGAGGGACTTGCCTTATATGTCTCGAAGCTGACTTACCTCATCGACCGTTCGCTCCACATCACAACCCGAGCGCTCTAGCGTACGCACCACTCGAAAAGGTCTACAGCGACATCCTCTACAATCGCGAACCAGGACAAGTTAACTACAACTACACCATCACCTTCATCGACGCCGCCACTCGATATGTCTGGCATCGTAACCTACCCAACCGCGACTGTGGCAGCAGTACCTACACGCCCGCCTCATCCGCATCGGTTTCAAACAACTCCCGCATGACCAGGGCATGTATCGCCTCACAAAGGGAAGCGACTACGTTCTCCTAATCGTCTACGTTGACGATCTCCTCTACATTGGGTCAACCGACGGCATCGCCACGTGGTTCGAAGGGGAGCTTCAGAAAGACCTCACGCTCACGGTCTCTTCTACGGTTACGCAGTACCTTGGGCTCAACATCCGCGAGGAAGAAAATGCAATCTATCTAAGCGCCGAGAAGTACGCCGACACCATCACGAAACGCTTCGGCCTCACACCAAGCGCCATCTCCACGCCTTACCGCTACATGTCAGGAACCGAAAAGGGACGATCTACTCTACTCAAGCCCGCCGGCATACGCGACTATCAGAAGAAGCTCGGATGTCTTCTCTTCGCAGCAGTCACATGCCGTCCCGACTTATCCTACTCCGCGAGCCAGCTCGCCACCTATCTCAAGAAGCCTGAAGTAGAGCATCTGGCGGAACTCGATCGCGCTCTCCAATATTTCGTCAGCACCGCGACGATTGGATTAACCTATCACAAAAACGCAACTACACCGACCAAGCTAATCGGCTACGTCGACGCCGATCACGCCGGCGACACCGATAACAGACGCTCACGCACCGGCTATGTCTACCGCCTCGAACCTATCGGTCCTATCTCCTGGCAGTTGAGTAAGCAGGAGTTAATCGCACTGTCTTCAGCTGAAGCAGAACATATTGCACTCTGCTCAGCCACCAAGGAGGGACTTTACCTTCGCGAACTACTGGAAGAAGCAAAGTTAGCCGAGTTACCTTGCTTCACCGTGTTCTGCGACAACCAGTCAGCAATTCGCATCGCCAACAAGAATGGCTTCGCAAACAGGACGAAACACATCGCCCTGCGCTATTTCTTCGTGAAGGACGAGATCGAAAAGGGGAAACTCGATCTATCATACTGTCCAACATCTGAGATGGCAGCCGATTACTTGACCAAGAAGCTCGGAAAGCAGAAGTTCGAATACTGCATGATGCTGACTGGACAAGGCCACGTCACCTGCGGCGACACTCCAGAAGCGAAGGGGAGTGTTGGAAACAATAAGTCTTAGAGCGCTTCTGTCGTGTCAAAACCCAAGACACTAGCGAAGCAGTCCGAATCGAAACATCGAGTCAAACCTCGGAGGTTAGGGTAACCGCCTGGAGGTTACGAGAAAGTCAAAGGTCAGCGACCTTTGACTCGACAATTACAGCGCAACAGTTAAGGACACACAACTGACTCGTTACAGAGCAGTTGCCCGAGTCGCACTGTATCGAATCGCAACAGCAATACAGTTATCTATCTATTCGTATTCCCTGTACCCTTATATAAGACCTTGTATTTGCTTGTTTAATTTAATATACTTTGCTCTCACACCAGTGCAAGGTCGGTTCACAAGTTTCATTAAACGCTTCCGCTATTACAAGTTTCCTACCCAGAGTTATCCTCTGCAAAGATCCTTAAGGGCCTTCTCAGCCCAACAAAATCTACGTTAATCCCCTCCATGGAAGACGCCGCTCGAAGCAGGATGACACGGGCTTGCGCACGTTGTAACGCCACCCCGATGAGCGTCTTTAGTGACCCTAAAAGATAAGCCGAAAACACAGAGTCGTCCTCTCGACAAGCCCCCCGCGACACAGCTAGCCCCACGTGCGCATCCCCCTGCTGACGAAGCCACCGCTGAAAACGACCGCCGAGACACCCCCACGTCTCAACTATCAAAGGGGTGAACTGCACGCAGGCGCGTAATCACTCGTTTTGCGACGCTCCCATTCCCTTGCCGCCACACCTATTTGACGCCCGCACTGTCCCAGCAGTGATGGAGACAGCGATAGCGGGTCCGCGACGCTGATCTCTAGGGCGTGAGCCTCTCCAGCCATTGGACGTCGCACCGCCACATCAACCCGCTTCCCTTGTAGCACCACACTATCCTCCAATGTCACCACCCCCCCCCGACGCCTTAGAGATCCTCGCCACCGCAAACTTCACCTCATCATGCACCCGAGAAGGACCATGCTGGTGCCTGCATCTCAGGGCATGGTGCGGGTCTGCTGGGTCAACATACGTTGTGCCACAAACACACCTCCCCGCCACCTGCAGCTGCTGAATTGGGAGGCCGGGTCGTATAGCAGCAGCAATGCCCCACTCAGCCGCAGTGAATGTGAGATCTGAGTGAGCCGGAACCGCCGAAACCCATGCACCTGCCCCCGAGCCCTGAAGGGATGTGAAACGGGCCAAGGTAGCATCGTCACGAGCCAAGCGGCGCAGTGCCTGGAGCTCCTCTACAGCTAACTGCCGCTGACGCGCCTGGAAAAGCCGAACAGGAGGGGACGCTACACACAGAGGTAAGCCCGGTATCTCGTGGCGGATAGTCGCTGGCAGCTGCTCGAGAGCCTTGACAAACCACGGGTCAAGAAACTCTACCCCTGTCGAAGTGGTGAGGTACTCAGCAAACATCGCCTCCTCACCCGCCACCCCTAACTGTGCAATGTCCCCCGCGGCCTGCGCCCACCCGCAAACATAGGACAGTGGGCTCAAAGAGGCCGCCGCCCGGATCCCGAACCCACCGAGACGCACAGGGAGATACAGCTGCATGCGTGCGCGCCTAGACCGGTCGGGGTCCTGCTCCCAAGTGCCAGGTGGGAAAAGCTGCTCAAAGCAATCCTCTAAACAGCTGTCCCAATCCCTAAAAGCCTCAACCACCTCCGGACGCGGCGGCATAGTCCGGGCGAGGTACATCGGCCGCGCTAAACACTTGATTTGTTGCGTGTCGATGCTAGCAAAGGACAATTTCTATTATCCCTCAATAATGGGTGCAACGAATACGACACCTTATGATAACAAAGGTCTCCTAATATCAATCTCAGGTACTACATTAATCGTTGTGGGCGTTTTGGCGCACGAAGCTGCACAGCAAGGTGCAGATTTCATGCAGTGAATGGCAAAGTAAACGGGCAGTGCTGTGAAAACAAAGGCGAGCGAGAGCAGCGACGGGATGAGTTGTGTGACGAGAGACGAAATGACAAGGTACCTGGAGGTGGGGAGTTGGGGTAGGAAGAGTGAGGAGGGAAGTGTAGGGGTGGAGTGAGTGAGGGGATACAAGGGGCATAGAGCCACATCAGCTGAGTGACAAGAGACGAGATGACAAGGTACACGTGGGTGAGTTGTAGAGAAAGAAAAGGACAGATATGTAGGGGTGGAGTGAGTGAGAGGCCAAAGAAGCACAAAGGCACATCAGCTGAGTGAGAAGAGATGAGATCACAAGATACCTGTGGGTGAGTTGGGAAGATTAGGAAGGAAGAATTGTACCGGTAGGGGTGGAGTGAGTGAGAGAATAAGGGAGAGACAGAGAGTCACTTGTGGAACTGCAGCGCCAACCACGGGGGTTGCTTTAAAAGGCACCTCACTACACATGTGTGTAGTGAGTGAGAGAATAAGGGAGACACAGAGTCACTTGTGGAACTGCAGTGCCAACCATGGGGGTCGCTTAAAAGCCACCTCACTCCATCTGTGTGTAGTGAGTGAGAGAATAAAGGAGAGACAGAGTCACTTGTGGAACTGCAGCGTCAACCATGGAGTTCGCTCTGGCTAGTGAGTTCAACCAGCCAGGAAGGTCAGGAAGGAGAATTGAGAAGGATTGATAGGCAGGTGTGGGCAGCTCTTACGACAATGACGCCTGGAAGCGGGTCAAGGCTGGCCTTGTAGGAGCGGGCCAGGTCCGGCAGGTCAATAGGAGAATTGAGAAAGATTGATAGGCAGGTGTTGCTTACGTGGATACAACGACGACGATGACGCCTGGAAGCGGGTACAGGCTGGCCTTGTAGGGGCGAGGCAGGTCCGGCAGGTCCCAGCGCAGCTTGATGAGCGATGCCCCCACGAGGCCGTAGAACATCCATGCAGCGATGCCGAAATAGTCAATCAGCTGAGGATGGATGGAACGAAGGGGTGGGGGAAGGGGAATGTGGGAACAGAGGAAAGGCGGGTCGAGAAGGTCCCATCGCAGCTTGATGAGGGACGCCCCCACGAGGCCGTGGAATATCCACGCAGCGATGCCAAAGTAGTCGATAAACTGAGCGGGTGAGAGGAAGGAGAGAGAGCAAAACGAATTGAAAAGCAGGTCAGGGAAGGTCTTAACGCAGCTTGATGAGGGACGCTCCTACAAGACTGTAGAACATCCACGCAGCGATGCCGAAATAGTCGATCAGCTGAGCGGGCGGCAGGAATGAAAGAGCAAAGGGAGGGAATACAAAAGCAGGTCAGGAAGGTTCCAGCGCAGCTTGATGAGTGGCGCTCCTACAAGGCCATAAAACATCAGCACAGCGATGCCAAAAATGTATATTAACTGGAATTAAAAGGAAAGGGTGGGGGACAGGGACTGTGGGTGCAGGGGAAAGTAATTGGAAAATCTGACGACAAGGCCGTATAAGGGCGTGTCTCACTTCGGGACAAGAGTACTGTTCATGTCATCCGAGATTCCTAGACGACAAATGATATTCCAGTAGTGTAGCTGAAATGCACTCTATTGGTCGTCCAAGAATCTTGGATGACATGAAGAGTACTCTTGACCCGAAGTGGGACACGCCCTAACATCCACGCAGCATGCAGCAATGCCGAAGCAGTCAATCAGCAAAGCGGGCGAGGTCATGATGGAGAAGGGGTGTGAAGGCTGAAAATGGGGAATGATCCAGGTTTTCGCACCCATGGAGCAATAAGATGGTGTGGGGTAATGGAAGAAACGGGGAAGGGGGCAAGGGGAGTGAAGGCGTGACAGTAAGAAAACAGGTTTATAGGAGCGCATGTTTATGAAGGCTAGGACGAAATAGTGAAACATTTGATGATGAGAGGGCAGGGAAAGGGGAGAAAAAGACGAGCAGCGAAGGCTTGAGAACAAGGGAAAGAAGGTTTGAAGGGCATAAAACATAATGAGAAAACATGTGTCACAAATCTGTAGCTTTTATGTATATACCTTTTCGTATACAGTACACAAATGCTATATCTCTGTACTGTACACATGTGCACTTTCCATAAACTGTACCTTCTCAAGGTGGTTTGCCGCCACGAAGACAACAACCGCAATCCACCCGCCCTGAAGTTTGGATTGGAAATGGCGAGAGACACAAGGGAAGAAAGTACAACTTGAAAGGTTACAATTTTTTTTTTAGGTTTAAAGAAATGGCAATAGTGGATCCTTGATGGGGGAACGAGAGTGATGGGAATGAAGTAACTGAAAAAGAAACTGCGCATCATGTTGCGAGAAAAAAACGTTGGGATGATGGTCGCACTGAACGACAATGGCAAGGAAGGATTGAGGTCGTAGAGCTGAAGAAAGGAGAAAGAAGGGAAAGCATTGGGCGAAATGAAGTGTTCACAGTGGCAAGGAGTGAAGCGTAGGGAGCTCCTCCGGAAGTGACTGCACTGAGAAACGAAGTGACGGAGTGAAGCCAAGTTGTGTAAAGATGCACCGAGTGAAGGTTTGTGCAAGCCAAGGACTTACAGTGGCAAGGAGTGAAGCGTAGGGAGCTCCTCCAGAAGTGACTGCACTGAGAAACGAGAACAGCTGGCCGTCCCTTGCCTTGGCGTACTGTATGCCAAGGCATAAAACATAATGAGAAAACATGTGTTACAAACATGTGGGGAAAAGGGACAGAAATCGATACGGGAAGAGGGAAAGAGTTTCTATATATTCACATGCGACTTATGAAGAACCATGCGTGGCACAGCACCGACCAAACTCATAGCCACTGCAAATGAGTTCGAGTAACAGTTCTGCTTATTCAAACCCTGTATATATATGTATATATATGTTTATCTATATTGCATATATGTATGCATATATACATGTATGTGTATGCATCAAATATGACTTACAAAGAAACGCGCGTGACACAAAAGGGTGGCGTTGGCAGCGCCGAGCACGTTGAGAGCAACCAGGAAGGCAATGAAACGACCGGAATGAGGACCAAACACTGCTTCCACCGCTTCTACCGCCACCACTTCCGACTTGCCCACGGCTAAGGTGGGATCAATGGGGAGGGGAATAGAGACGAGTGAGTAAGGGCAGGAAGGGGATGAAGAGCGACCGGAGGGAGTGCCAAACACAACGTTGACTGCCTCTACCGCTACCACTTCTGATTTCCGTACGGCTGAGAGTCGAAGGGTTGTTGGGAGTAAGGGGAAAAAGAGCATGGTGTGAAGGGGATGAAGCAGGCAAAGGAGTTGAAGGCACAGTGTAAGAACCGCATTGATGTTGTGTCAATCTTGCAGTATTGTAAGCAATGTCGTTGTATGGTGATGTTGGTGATGTTGTTGATATTGTTGATATTGGCAGCGTACCTGCTAGGGGAAGAATGCAGAAGTAGGCGGAGTTGACTGCGAGCTGATTATGCGGTGCCATGCAGTCGGTTGCGGCGCAGTACGGTTCCACGCGGTTTTGTGAAGGTTCATGCAAGGTCACAGGGGGGGAAATGGAGAGTGTGGAAAGCACGGCATGCCAAAGCAGAACAATGCTCAGCCACATACAATGCTCAGCCACATACAATGCTCAGCCACATACAATGCTCAGCCACATACAATGCTCAGCCACATACAATGCTCAGCCACATACAATGCTCAGCCACATACAATGCTCAGCCACATACAATGCTCAGCCACATACAATGCTCAGCCACATGCACTTGTCCTCGACAATCGGTGCACATAAAGTTGAGATTCAGAGGGATATCTACACGACCACTCACGCGGATGCGGAGGGCATGAGCATGCCAAAGGAGTGCAACAGCCAGCCAAATTCACTCCTCCGCACAAAAGAGTGAACCGGTAGTTAAAATCTGATTCATACATATCTGAATCACCACTCACACAGATGCCAACGGCAGTGAGCATGCCAAAGGAGAGCGAGCGAGGCAGGTCCCTCTTTGGGTTCTTGAGCTCTTCTGATAGATATCCCAGGCAATTCCTGCCAGGTGAGCGCAAGATTGGATGTTGCACATTGCAGGGAAGGGATACAGAATGATGTAAGAAAAAACTCAATAGTGGGTCGCTCTTGAGATCCTCGGATAGAAAGCCCTTCGAGTCGACTCGAAGGTCGCTCTTGAGATCCTCGGATAGAAAGCCCTTCGAGTCGACTCAAAGGTCGCTCTTGAGATCCTCGGATAGAAAGCCCTTCGAGTCGACTCAAAGGTCGCTCTTGAGATCCTCGGATAGAAAGCCCTTCGAGTCGACTCAAAGGTCGCTCTTGAGATCCTCGGATAGAAAGCCCGGGCAGACCTTTGAGCCGACTCAAAAATCGCTCTTGAGATCTAGTTTTGAGGCGTCTAGTTTTGAGGCGCCTCAAAACTAGTCAAAAGTCGCTCTTGAGATCCTCGGATAGAAAGTTCGGGAAGTGCCTGGAGAATGGGTGGAGGGAGAGTAGAAGCAGAAAGGAAGGGAGAAATAAACGTGATAAAGGTAACATTTTGAGACGTGTTTTGAGTCGACTCAAAACACGACTCATTTTGAGATGACTCAAAATGTTACTTTTATTTCCTGGAGATTGGGTGGAGGGAGAGTAGAAGCAGAAAGGAAGGGAGAGATCAATAAGATTTTCCCCTTGGGATCCTTGGACTTAAAGGGAGTTTTTGAGAATTGTAAAAAATTCTGAAAGATACACATGGCAGTTCGTGTCACGTCGAGCTGCAGAATGCCAGAGGATAATAGATAGGGGATCGGATGGAGGTTGGATGCGGTTGAGATGGACGAAATGAGATCTTTGAGTTTTTGAACCAGGGCGTTAGAGGCGGAGGGAAGTGACCTGACCTGTAGTAACAGGCGGAGTTTTTGAAACAGCACTAGTACTACTAGCTCACTCGTTCTCCTTATCCTTTGCCGGCCCCGGCCCGGCTCCAGTTGTAGGTGGAGAGGGGTGGGAGCGGCTGGGAGAAGTTTGTAGCGGCTACAGCCGTGCCGCAGCTGGCACACAGGCAGGCAGCCGACTCACTCTTCCCTATCCTCACCAGCCATCAAAAGCCCAGACGGCAGCCACCAGGCTGGTCCCGGCCCGGCTCCAGTTGTATCAAGAGAGGGGTGGGAGCGGCTGGGAGAAACGAGGCTTGTAGCAGCACTAACTCACTTGCAAGCTGGTACTCGTTATAAGCTGACTCACCAGCCGTCAAAGGCCCAGACGGCAGCCACCAGGCCGGCCCCGGCCCGGCTCCAGTTGTAGCCGGAGAGGGGTGGGAGCGGCTGGGAGAAGTTTGTTGCGGCTACAGCCGTGCCGTGAAGGGAGATGAAGATGGGCGCGCAGGCTACAACCGCTGCTATGAGGAGTGCCTTGGTGACTGTGAGTATGTTCTGCACTAGTGCGCCTGCCTTCACTCCTGCAGTGGTGGGTGTGAGTGGAGGAAAGAGCGGTGGAGAGCGATAAGGCTGGGCGAACAGGGCAGTCGGTTTAAAGCGCCTCAAGAATGCAGACGTGCTGTGGAGGGAGATGAAGATGGGCGTGCAGGCCACCACTGCTGCTATTAGCAATGCCTTGGTGACTGTGAGTATGTTCTGCACTAGTGCGCCCGCCTTCACTCCTGTGAAGAGCGGGTGTGGGGGGAGGAGAAAGAGGGGGAGGAGAAAGAGGGGGAGGAGAAAGAGGGGGAGGAGAAAGAGGGGGAGGAGAAAGAGGGGGAGGAGAAAGAGGGGGAGGAGAAAGAGGGGGAGGAGAAAGAGGGGGAGGAGAAAGAGGGGGAGGAGAAAGAGGGGGAGGAGAAAGAGGGGGAGGAGAAAGAGGGGGAGGAGAAAGAGGGGAGGAGAAAGAGGGGGAAGGAGAAAGAGGGGGAGGAGAAAGAGGGGGAGGAGAAAGAGGGGGAGGAGAAAGAGGGGGAGGAGAAAGAGGGGGAGGAGAAAGAGGGGGAGGAGAAAGAGGGGGAGGAGAAAGAGGGGGAGGAGAAAGAGGGGGAGGAGAAAGAGGGGGAGGAGAAAGAGGGGGAGGAGAAAGAGGGGGAGGAGAAAGAGGGGGAGGAGAAAGAGGGGGAGGAGAAAGAGGGGGAGGAGAAAGAGGGGGAGGAGAAAGAGGGGGAGGAGAAAGAGGGGAGGAGAAAGAGGGGGAGGAGAAAGAGGGGGAGGAGAAAGAGGGGAGGAGAAAGAGGGGGAGGAGAAAGAGGGGGAGGAGAAAGAGGGGGAGGAGAAAGAGGGGGAGGAGAAAGAGGGGGAGGAGAAAGAGGGGGAGGAGAAAGAGGGGGAGGAGAAAGAGGGGGAGGAGAAAGAGGGGGAGGAGAAAGAGGGGAGGAGAAAGAGGGGGAGGAGAAAGAGGGGGAGGAGAAAGAGGGGGAGGAGAAAGAGGGGGAGGAGAAAGAGGGGGAGGAGAAAGAGGGGGAGGAGAAAGAGGGGGAGGAGAAAGAGGGGGAGGAGAAAGAGGGGGAGGAGAAAGAGGGGGAGGAGAAAGAGGGGGAGGAGAAAGAGGGGGAGGAGAAAGAGGGGGAGGAGAAAGAGGGGGAGGAGAAAGAGGGGGAGGAGAAAGAGGGGGAGGGAGGTGAAGATGGGCGCGCATGCCACCACTGCTGCTATTGAGAGTGCCTTGGTGACTGTCAGCGTGTTCTGCACCAATGCCCCTGCTTTGACTCCTGCAAATGGGGAGTGTGAGGGAGGGAAACAGAGGAGGGTGACGAGGAAGATGGGCGCGCAGGCCACCACTGCTGCTATTAGGAGTGCCTTGGTGACTGTGAGGATATTCTGCACCAACACGCCTGCTTTGACTCCTATGAGATTGGGTTGGGGTTCTGTGGGGGGAGGAAAAGAAGGTGGGAGGTGATGAAGATGGGCGCGCATGCCACCACTGCTGCTATGAGGAGCGCCTTGGTGACTGCTAGGATGTTCTGCGCCTTGGTGACTGCTAGGATGTTCTGCGCCTTGGTGACTGCTAGGATGTTCTGCGCCTTGGTGACTGCTAGGATGTTCTGCGCCTTGGTGACTGCTAGGATGTTCTGCGCCTTGGTGACTGCTAGGATGTTCTGCGCCTTGGTGACTGCTAGGATGTTCTGCGCCTTGGTGACTGCTAGGATGTTCTGCGCCTTGGTGACTGCTAGGATGTTCTGCTCCAACGCGCCTACCTTCACTCCTGTATGGGGGAGGGAACAGTTGGGAGGAGGGGAGAGGCGCAGGATGGGCTGTGAGCGGAGCGCCTTGGTGTGACTGAGTATGTTCTGAACCAATGCGCCTGCCTTCACTCCTGATTGGGTTGGGGTTGTGTGGGGGGGGGAGGAAATGGGGGTGGGAGGTGGTGAAGATGGGCGCACAGGCCACCACTGCACATACCAGCGCAGTTGATGGCAGTGAGGAGGAGCGTGAAGGAGCAGAGCAGGCGATGATTCGGACAGGGGATGGAGGAGTGGCACAAGAGTGGGTGATCAGGCGGATGAGAGCAGGCACAAGTGGTGGGTGCAGCAGGGAAGTTAAGCACATACCAGCGCAGTTGATGGCCGTGAGGAGGAGCGTGAAGGAGCAGAGCAGGCGATGATTCAGAGAGGGGGAGGAGAGTGGCTCGCCGGCACGTAACAAGGGGAGCGGGTGATAGAGTTGGTGACTACGTGAAAGAAGGAGTGTTTTGAGACGTCTCAAAACACGTAACAAGGGGAGCGGGTGATAGAGTTAGTGACTACAGCACGTACCAGCACAGTTGATAGCCGTGAGGAGGAGAGCGAAGGAGCAGCCGATGATTCGCACGCCCATCTCCATTTGCTCCTCACTGGCTCCCTGCATGCCCGGGAGCTGACGGGGGGAGGAGGAGAACGGGAGGGGAGTAAATGCGATGCAATGCGATGCGATTCAATCCAGTGCGATTTAACGCAGTGGAATGCAATGCAGCGCCTCACAGCATGCCCAGCCCCATCTGCTCCTCACCTCACTGGCGCCCTGCATGCTCGGGAGCTGAGGAATTAAGAGGGAGGCAGGGAGCGAAGGAAGAATATTCTGTGAAACAGTGCAATGCTACCCAATCCGTGTTTTTTTAGAATTCTCAAAGAACCCAATGCCCAGCCCCCTCTGCTTCTTGAATACACTTTATTCACATCCTTACGCGCTCGGGAGCTGAGGAGGGCAGTGGGGGATGTAATGATGAGCAGATGCGACAAAATCAAGGATGTGACAAGCAAAAGCCAGTGGGGGAGAGGGAGGGGAGCCAAAGCAAGGAGATGCAAACGAGAGCAGATGTGACAAAAAGGATGTGAGCGCAAAGAAGCTCACCAGAGCGATGGTGTATCGGGCGAATGTGACTATAAGGATGTGAGTAAGCGGATGGGACAAAACGGATGTAAGTAGAAGGATGTGAGGATAACGGATGTGAGTGCAACGGAGCTCACCAGAGCAATGGTGTATCGGGCGAATGTGACTATAAGGATGGCGATGCCGCCGCCAGTAGAGACGAAAAAGAACATCCACATGAAGACAAACGAGAGCAGATCTCCGAACGCCAGCTGGATGTACTCCCCGTCGCCGCCCGCGTGCGGTATGGAGCTGCCCAGCTCAGCGTACACCTGCCACGTCAGCAGAACACGTCAGAAAGACACATCAGCAAGACACGTCAGTGAAGCATCATAACCCTCAGCGCAGCAGGAGTACGCGACGAAGCGAGTGCAGAGCTGTTGATAGTTGTGTTACCGCATGTAACCATTACCTGTTACCACAACGCGTTACATGCTGGACATGTCCTGTTACAGACCTCGCAGCTGGAGAAGGCGACGATGCCGGCGCAGAGCCACACGATAAGCGCGGAGATGGGCGCACCTCCCGAGTCAATAAGAAGTGGCTGTCAGCATACACATCCTAATACCTCAGCATGTCTCTAGTTGTGACACCTCTCACCTCCTACTCATGCTCGCACCTCGCAGCACGAGTAGGCGACGATGCCCGCGCAGAGCCACACGATGAGCGCGGAAATCGGCGCGCCTCCGGAATCAAGGAGCACGACGCCTGGCGTGGCGAATATGCCGCTGCCCACCACCACTCCCAGCACCATGCTGGTGGAGAGATGAAAAAGAGGGAGAGGGGAAAGAAACATGGGTGTTGGAGAACCAGCATCAGCATTCAGCAGCAGCAACTTTTGAGGCGCCTCAAAAAATCCTCAAAAGTTTTGAGGCGCCTAAAAAATCCTCAAAAGTTTTGAGGCGCCTCAAAAAGAAACATGGGTGTTGGAGAACCAGCACTTTCCAGGAGCAGCAAAAGGCCGGGCGTGGCGAATATGCCGCTGCCCACCACCACGCCCAGCACCATGCTGCAGCATGAAGGGGAAAGAGAGAGAGGAGGAGGAAGGAGAGGGGGAGGGAGGAGATGTATGGTAGGAATGAGGGGTTGGGAGGAGTGAGAGTCCACGAGCATGACGCCTGGCGGGAGGAGAAGGGATGCGGAGAGGGTGGGACGCGCGGGAGGAGAAGGGACGCGGAGAGGGTGGGACGCGCGGGAGGAGAAGGGACGCGGAGAGGGGAGGTGGGGAGCGGGGGGAATGAGGAGCCAGCAGCCTAAAAGACCGACCCTGAAAAGCAGCCCCTTTTGAGTCGACTCAAAGACCGACCCTGAAAAGCAGCCCCTTTTGAGTCGACTCAAAGACCGACCCTGAAAAGCAGCCCCTTTTGAGTCGACTCAAAGACCGACCCTGAAAAGCAGCCCCTTTTGAGTCGACTCAAAGACCGACCCTGAAAAGCAGCCCCTTTTGAGTCGACTCAAAGACCGACCCTGAAAAGCAGCCCCTGGTTTCCCCGTCGCAGTCGTTCCAGCGATGATCGCACATTCTCATGCACCACACGCACGCCATCGACGACAGTCAGCCATGGTCTCAGGCGAGCACGAGAAGTAACGTAATCCGTTACATAAGGACTCGTCGAACATCGTCTCACAATAGCTCGTTGCAGTCTTAACGCAATAGCAGTGCCACGGACCACACGCCATCGACGTCAGTCGGCGACCTCAATGATCCGAGCGAGTCGCTCTTCCCTTACGTGCGAACTGAGGAAAAAAAACCCTATCGAAACTGGGTCCCTTGCGCAGGAGGGGAGAAGAGCGGAGCGAACTTCACCTCTTGTTAAAGCACACGATAAGAACACGATAAGCGCAACGCCACGCACCAGACGCCATCGACGACATTCAGCGATCGCTTCAACCCTCGCTTTTCCCCGTGCCCGCCGCCGCCGCCGCCCGCGGCTGCGCTCGCCGGCTCTGTGCCGGAGCACTCCTTGCCGCCGGCCCGAGAGGCGGTGGGGAGAAGCGGCGCAGCAAGAGCGGCCGTGGAGTCGTCGCACGCCGCGGGAGGGATCAACACGCAAGAATGACTCATGGCGTGGATGATGTTCGAAGCGACTAAAATAATGGGGAGATGGGGAAATATATCCTTCGCGTTCTGTGCGTTCTAACGAGATATTGCGGCGCGCGAAAAGGAAGCGTGTGTGGGCGGCCGGTGAGAGAAGACTTGAAAAAAGTTCCGATGTTTTTCGCTTTACTAGGAGTGGAATGGACTGACGGGTAATCGAGTTTTTTTTGGACGAGGAGGTCAGAAAGGAGATGAAAGAAGAGCTCAGGTTGGCTTGTCGAGACAGACACTAATAAAAACTCTAATGCAGAAAGCTGCCTTTATGGTGGTGAGGAACAAGCGACGGTGACGAGAATTCTCGAAGGAATAAGAGACGGGTGAAACAGTCATGAGGTGGTTGGAGGAGAGGGATGCAGGGACAGAGGTGCTGGTTTGGTTGCAGTTGGGGAGGGGAATTCGTTTCTCGAGCCGCTCGCAGCTGTCATAGGCAAGTTCGGCGGGTGACTTTGCGAAACAACAGTGACCATGTTTGTTTGAGTTGACGGTATTAGCACTCGCTTACATAAGTGCATCCTCACGCTGTGTTAAAAAACGAAAGCCGATACACACTCGGCGTTTGTGGGAGGTATGATCCGCTTTTACGACCCATCTTCTGTTCCCAGCTGGTGATATTCGTAAGCCCCAATAGGAAGACTGCACTAAGTGCTTCAGGGAAACGTAAAATGCTTCAGGGAAACGTAAAATGCCTCAGGTGGTTACGCTCGCGACATCTCGTCAACGGAAACTGCAGGCTCTGGTGGCGGAATCTGCTCAGCCCTTGCCATGCTGCGAAATGTGGCGGAAGTCTTTTGAGCTCATTGGCTCGCTGCTTCGTGACTCTGTTGCTGCAGGTCAATCCTGTCGTCGAGTCAGAAGTGAGGCCAGATGGAGGCGCCTACTGGATAATTCCACAAACCGCAGCTCGCTGTGTACTGGGAGAACCAATAAGGACGAAAGATCTCCCAGCGGGTTGCCCAATCAGTGAACGATTTGGGCTGACCTGGTTCCAGCACTTCAACTTCCTTCCAGCAAGGCAAGGTTGCATTGCAAGATCTTCGGAACTGGAGCGCTCGATACTGGCTATACAAAAACTTCTATCATATTAATCGGATAGGTTAATGTCGCTCTAACGAAAGTAAGCCTGAATGGGTAACTTGGTTCGAATCGCATCTTCCAAACCAGGTAGCCGTTGGGCTTGCGTCATTGGCTAATCGCACTGAACATCGAGGTTCGTGGTCTGTCTGGCCCTAGGTTCGGTCTGCATGTTCGGTCATGTCAGCGCATCTTCGCAAGAACGAGTTACCTAACTTCTCAATTGTCGTCATCCGTCGCACACATTCTTATCCACTCGTCTCCTCGCCTGTAGTCGCATGCTCTGGCCTTCCCGAGTATGAGTTCGCCAAAACTTCAACCAGACCGAACTTCTTCCCCTCGCCACTTTTGCAGGTTCGGTTCAGATCAGACCAGACCAGCAGTCTCGTAGCAGGAAATAAAAGCTTATTACAGCGTGATAAGTTGGCTGATTTATGGTGCGAAAAAATTACTAGTACGGGTAACTAATGTCTCCAGCGTATGAGTAGCCTTCACTGAAAACGTGCATCGTGTCATGGCGACAGGCCGGAATTCCCGTGGCGAGACCTCAGACGTACGCGTGCCCCTTATTCAGCCGCCTGTAAACCCCCCTAGGGATGGCACGTCGACCAAAAGCATTGCGCCGGTTACTGCCTGCTTGCCGCGTCTCGCGCCACCGAATGACGTAGGTGTTATCGATTGCGACGAAGGCCGTGCGGGGAGGAAAGAAGTTGATACCCCCTCGGCAGATGAAGGCGAGATTGTTGGCCCGCACTCGCCGCGCGCGGGGTTGAAACGGTCGCTTACCGTCGTTGACGGCGTCAGGTGCGAAATGCCGACGTGCCGCTCTGAAGTTTGACTGTAAACGGTCGCTTACCGTCGTCGACGGCGCCAGGTGAATATTGAACAAGGTTTTTCATTAGCCAAGATCGTCGGGCCGCACTCGCCGCGCGAAGGGTTGAATTGTCGCTTACAGTAAAAATTTAAGAGCATCAGGTGCATTGATTCGCTCGCTCAGGCAATGCTCTGGAATCTGACTGTCTGACGTGTGTTGCTCGGACGTGTGAAAAGGGTGCTGCTCTGACGTGCGGTGTTATGTGTCAACAGCTCAATCCTCACCTACACGTCTCATAACTGGTCTTCCGTGAGGGTAGATTTCTGTCACTTATGAGAACTTCAAAATGAATTCTCGAATCGACATCTCTCATGACAGGCCTTTCGTGAGGGTATAATTCGATCACTCGCGCCTCTTTCACCCCTCTCCTTCCCCTATCGCTCCCCTCTCCTGCTACCCTCTCCTTTTCCGTCGCCCTCTCGCTTCGTCTCGTTCCGTCTCCCTCCGTCTTCCTCTGTCATCTTCCGCCTCCCTCCCTCCGTCCTCGTTCTCCCCATTTCCATCCGCAATGCACCAAAATGCAGCATGGTGCTGGGAATGGTGGTGGGAAGCTGCATATTCGCCATGCCAGCCTTGCCCTGCAGTGTGGTGTGCAAACGCCCATGCCTCTCTGCCTCTCTGTGTGCATCATGTGTTGCTCTGTCTCAAGGAGCATGGTGCTGGGAGTGGTGGTGGGCAGCCAGCGGCATATTCGCCACGCCAGGCGTCGTGCTCGTGGATTCCGAAGGGATCTCCTCTCACACCCCCCATCCCCTCATTCCGCCCATCCCCTCTCCTCCCCTCAATCTTCCCCCCTGATGCGGCAGCAATGGTGCTGGGAGTGGTGGTGGGCAGCGGCATATTCGCCACGCCAGGCGTCGTGCTGCTGGGTGGAGTGTAAACGCCCGTGCATTTCTGCCCCTCAGTCTCTATCTATCTATCTCTTTCCGTGTTAATGCAGCATGGTGCTGGGAGTGGTGGTGGGCAGCGGCATATTCGCCACGCCAGGCGTCGTGCTGCTGGGTGGAGTGTAAACGCCCGTGCATTTCTGCCCCTCAGTCTCTATCTATCTATCTCTTTCCGTGTTAATGCAGCATGGTGCTGGGAGTGGTGGTGGGCAGCGGCATATTCGCCACGCCAGGCGTCGTCCTGCTGGACGCGAGCGGGTCGCCGCTGCTGGCGCTGCTGCTGTGGCTGCTGGCGGGGGTGGTGGGGTACGCCTGCTGCGAGGTGAGATGGGTGCGAGGAGGGGAGAAGACTTTTGGGTCGAATCAATATTCGGATTCGTCTTGCTGGACGCGAGCGGGTCGCCGCTGCTGGCGCTGCTGCTGTGGCTGCTGGCGGGGGTGGTGGGGTACGCCTGCTGCGAGGTGAGATGAGTGCGAGGAGGGGAGAAGACTTTTGGGTCGAATCAATATTCGGATTCGTCTTGCTGGACGCGAGCGGGTCGCCGCTGCTGGCGCTGCTGCTGTGGCTGCTGGCGGGGGTCGTGGAATATGCGTGTTGTGAGGTAAGCAAGGGAAGGGTGAGTGGGGGAAGGAGGGAGACAAGGGCAAGGCAAGTACGTTTGCCGCTGCTGGCGCTGCTGCTGCGACTGCTGGCAGGGGTGGTGGGGTACCCGTGCTGTGAGGTGAGAAGGGGGCTTATTTGGAGTGGCGTTGTGGGACAAGGAAAGGAGGTGCGAGGATGGGAAGGGTAAGGGCGGTCAACTGCTCATTGCTGCTGGCGCTGCTGCTGCGACTGCTGGCAGGGGTGGTGGGGTACGCGTGCTGTGAGGTGAGAAGGGGAGCAGGAGGGAGGGTTATGAGGGAGGGAGACAGGGTCAGTTCAGTAAGGGTGGCGCTGCTGTTGTGGCAGCTGGCAGGGGACGTGGGTTATGCATGCTGCGAGGTGAGGAGAGAGGGGTGGAGAGCGTGAAGAACGGACGAGGTGGGGAGAGAGAGAGGTGAGGAGGACGGAGAAGAGGGTTTAGGGTGGGTCGCCTGCAAGGTAGGTAGGAACAAGGGATGTTAATGCTGATGGATGGCCGCTGTTGGGTGGGGCTGCTTATGCGGCTGCTGGCGAGGGTCCCGGTCCTGAGATATGCTTGCTGCAAGTTTTTGAGAATTCTCAAATTCTCAAAAACTCCCTGCAATGGCGAGGGTCCTGAGATATGCTTGCTGCGAGCGAGGTGATGAGGGGGATGGGGTGTTGTGGGAGAGAGGGGGAAAGGGGTAATGTTGGCTGGTTTGTAAGGTACGGAGGGATGATAATGCGGATGGGTTGCCGCTTCTGCGCTGCTGCTGTGGTGCTGGCCGGGTACTGGTGTGCGCATGGTGCACGGTGAGAAGGCAGGGAGGTGGGGAAGGAGGTGTTGCCTTGCCAGGTCCCAGGCGGGAGAGTTGAATGTTTCAAGGGGGGCACATTCTGAGGCGGGAGAGTTGAATAAGGTATGGGGGACATCTAAGCGCTTATGTAGTCCCATTCTACTCTCCATCCCATCCGATCCCATCCCATCTCATCCCATCCATTCTACTCTCCACCCCATCCCATCCCATCCCATCCCATCCCATCCCATCCCATCCCATCCCATCCCATCCCATCCCACCCCACCCCGTTCCATTCCTCTCCATGCGACCTATCCGCCCCTGTCCATGCCATCAGGTGTATGCGGAGCGTCGTGATAAAAGTGATGTTTTGAGACGTCTCAAAACATCACACTTATCACGTGGCCATCCCACCCCATCCCGGGCATTCCTCTCCATTGGACCCATCCACCCCTGTCTATGCCATCAGGTGTATGCGGAGCTCGGGAGTTTCATCCCACACGCAGGCGGCGATGGGGAGTACTTGCAGGTACTCTACTGCACTAAAACTCACCCACAAGCTTACATCTACCCTTAGAAATCAGGTGTATGCGGAGCTCGGGAGTTTCATCCCTCATGCAGGCGGTGATGGGGAGTACTTGCAGGTAACCTGCACTTTACCTCACAAGAGCACAACTTCCCTTTTAAAAATACCTGTTATGTAATCTGCAGTCTCCTGCTGTTTGACTTAAAACGTAACCATAACAAAGCCATTCCTCCTCCTTACCCACCTCCTGTGTATGTGCCGATGTTGGTAGAATGGAAGGTTGATGCTCATGATGTGAGTTTCCTTTTCTCGTCGATTCATATACACCATCATCTTAGGGTTCGGGTTTAGGGTTCAGGTATTTATCTATCTTACATGTCGATTCTCTAACCAGCAATAAATGTGAGTTTTTCATGCCGATTCTGCTTGTTCCTACGGCACGAGATATACGGCCTTCTTCAGCTTATCGTCCTTTCATTGATCGTACTCACACTTGTTTACTATTCATGACATCATGTCCCATGCCGAATCCGTCTCCGCTAGGTGGCGTTTGGAGAGCTCGCGTCGTTTGTCTTCATGTGGATGTTCTTCTTTGTCTCTACCGGCGGGGCCCTCTCCATTCTTGTTGTCACGTTCGCCCGATACGCTGTCGCTCTGGTGAGGGGAGTGCTCGTGGGGGGTGGTGCTCATGGGGGGTGGGTGGTGCTCGTGGGGGTCGTTTTTGAGGCGCCTCAAAAGCAACCTCGATACGCTATCGCTCTGGTGAGGGGAGTGCCCATGGGGGGTGGTGCTCGTGGGGGGTGGTGCTCGTGGGGGGTGGTGCTCGTGGGGGGAGTGCTTGTGGGGGGTGGTGCTCGTGGGGGGAGGAGGGCGAAGGTCAGGGGCCCTCTCATGTGAATTGCGCTCATCATTTCAAGTGGCTGGGCCCTCTCCATTCTTGTGGTCACCTTTGCCCGATACAAGTGTGACTTTTGAGAATTCTCAAAAGTCACACTAATTCTTGTGGTCACGCTTGCCCGATACGAGTGAAGAGTGGTGATGGTGATGGAGGAAAGGATGTCAATTGGGTTTTCATCTTTGTATCAACCCGCAAGGCTCTACTGGCTGTGTGGCCTCTCTCCTTTGTAGTCACGTTCACTTGATACACCGTTGCTCGGGTGAGGGAGGGGCGCTGGTGATAGAGGGAGGGGTGCTGCGTTGCTGAAGAGGGGTGCTTCGTAAGGAAAGAGGGGTTTGTCGTCTGTTGCCCTCCTTCTAGGGGTTTGTCGTCTGTTGCCCTCCTTCTAGGTGACTTTTCAGTCGACTCAAAAGTCACCTCTGTTGCCCACCTTCTAGGTGACTTTTGAGTCGACTCAAAAGTCACCTCTGTTGCCCACCTTCTCTTGCTCTCTGCTGCCCGTTTTTCTGGTGGAACAGTATCAGGCGAAGAAGAGGTGATGATTGTGGTGATAGAGGGGATGTCCTCTTTTCCCTCATGAAATGCCCACTCCTCTCTTCATCTTGTGCAAAAGTATTGAGACGTCTCAAAATTCATCTTGTGGTCTCCGATTTTCCCTCCTCTTGCTGCTCTCCTCCCATTTCTCCTGCCAGCTACCAGGGGCAGCAGCAGGGGGCGAGGAGGAGATGGAAGTGATGGTGATGGTGGTGGGAGGGGGATGCGTGCTGCTGCTTACTCTTGTCAACTGCTGTGGTGAGTGTGTGTGAGTTTAAGTGAGTCATGAGTGTCTGTTAACCGTATACCAAAGCCCTTCAGACTTTCAACCAGAAACACAACACCCTAGTCTAATTCTTTCCTCTGCTGTACCCCTTCCTCCTCCTCCTCCTCCTCCTCCTCCTCCTCCTCCTCCTCCTCCTCCCCCCCCCCCTCCTCCTCCTCTTCCTCCTCCTCCCCCCCCCCCCCCCCCCCTCCTCCTCCTCCTCCTCCTCCTCCTCCTCCTCCTCCTCCTCCTCCTCCTCCTCCTCCTCCTCCTCCTCCTCCTCCTCCTCCTCCTCCCTCTTCCCTCCCCGCCAGGAGTTGAAGCAGGCACATGGTTGCAGAACCTCCTATCGCTCTCTAAGGCACTCCTCCTCATCGCCATCATTCTCGCAGCCGCCCCGGCCTTCATGCCCCTCCACGGCCCTGCCACTGCTTCCTCTCATCTCGCCCCCTCTCCCAGGAGTTGAATCAGGCACGTGGCTACAGAACCTCCTATCGCTCTCCAAGGCGCTCCTCATCGCCATCATCCTCTCTCCCCCATCTGTGTGCCATTTCCACCTCGTCCTATCAATTATCCCTCTCTTCAGGCGTGGAGGCAGGCACGTGGCTACAGAACCTCCTATCGCTCTCCAAGGCGCTCCTCATCGCCATCATCCTCTCTCTCCCCCATCTGTGTGCCATTTCCACCTCGTCCTATCAATTATCCCTCTCTTCAGGCGTGGAGGCAGGCACGTGGCTACAGAACCTCCTATCGCTCTCCAAGGCGCTCCTCATCACCATCATCCTCTCTCTCCCCCATCTGTGTGCCATTTCCACTTCGTCCTATCAATTATCCCTCTCTTCAGGCGTGGAGGCAGGCACGTGGCTACAGAACCTCCTATTGCTCTCCAAGGCGCTCCTCATCGCCATCATCCTCTCTCTCCCCCATCTGTGTGCCATTTCCACCTCGTCCTATCAATTATCCCTCTCTTCAGGCGTGGAGGCAGGCACGTGGCTACAGAACCTCCTATTGCTCTCCAAGGCGCTCCTCATCGCCATCATCCTCTCTCCCCCATCTGTGTGCCATTTCCACCTCGTCCTATCAATTATCCCTCTCTTCAGGCGTGGAGGCAGGCACGTGGCTACAGAACCTCCTATCGCTCTCCAAGGCGCTCCTCATCGCCATCATCCTCGCAGCCGCCCCGGCCTTCATGCTGCTGCAAGGCCCGGCCACTGCCACCGCCAACCTCCTTCAGCCGCTCCCTCCGCTTGACTCGCTTGACCTCAGCCGACTGGGCGCTGGGCTCGTGGCGGCTATATGGGCCTTTGACGGATGGTGAGTGGATGGGTGGGGTGGGGTGGGGTGGGGTGGGGTGGGTTGGGGTGGGTGACAGCCAGGTTGCCTTCATGCTGCTGCACGGCCCTGCCACTGCCACCGCCAACCTCCTCCAGCCGCTCCCCCCGCTTGACTCGCTTGACCTCAGCAGGCTGGGCGCTGGGCTCGTGGCGGCTATATGGGCCTTTGACAGATGGTGAGTGGGTGGGTGGGGTGGTATGTGCGCTGGTAAAACCCCCCTTGCTTCCCAGCCCCCCTTGCCGCCCCGGCCTTGCTGCTGCTGCACGGCCCGGCCACTGCCACCGCCAACCTCCTTCAGCCGCTCCCTCCGCTTGACCTCAGCAGACTGGGCGCTGGGCTCGCTGCTGCGATATGGGCCTTGGACGGATGGTGAGTGGACGGGTGGACGAGGTGGCTGGGGTGGGTGACGGCCAGGCTGCCTTGCTGCCACCGCAAACCTCCTCCAGCGACTCCCTCCGCTTGACTCGCTTGACCTCACCAGGCTGGGCGCTGGGCTCGTGGCTGCCATCTGGGCCTTCGATGGATGGTGAGTGGGAGAGTCGTGGGGTAAATCGGAGGTAACCAGGTGGTAACCAGAGGTAGCAGTCACATCTCGGCGCAGTCACATTTCTTCAGCTTACAATACGCAACCTGGCCTACCACTCCACTTCCTCCATTGACCTCGCAGGAACTGCATGGGCTTTCTATCAGAGGAGCTGAAGGATCCAAGGAGGGAACTCCCAACCCAATGACCCCCCCCGTCATCCTCATCCATTCCTCCATGTCCATCAATCCACAGCCAATCCTCTTGCCCAGCCCACGACCTCGCAGGAACTGCCTGGGCTTTCTACCAGAGGAGCTCAAGAACAGCAAGAGAAGGACCTCCCATTGAGCCCCCGCTTGATTCACTCCGCATCGACTCTTCTTCATGCAATTGTTGTGCCCCTCCCTCACTTCTTTCCGCCCTTGACATATCTCGCAGGAACTGCCTGGGCTTTCTATCAGAGGAGCGCTAGGACCCAAAGAGGGACCAGCCATTGTCCGCCTTCCCATTACCATTTCACTCCTCATCGAACCTTCGTCGTCATGCCATCTTGCCCCTTCCTCGATTGACCTCGCAGGAACTGCCTGGGCTTTCTATCAGAGGAGCTCAAGAACCCAAAAAGGGACCTGCCTCGCTCGCTCTCCATCGGCATGCTCATTGCGGTCGTCATCTGTGTGAGTGGCGGTGTGGTGCGGTGTGGAGCGGTGGCGAACTGACTATGCCCATTCTCTCTCTATGGGCTATTCTATGCTCTCACACGCCCAAAGAGGGACCTGCCTCCCTCGCTCTCCATCGGCATGCTGATCGCTGTTGTCATCTGTGTGAGTGGCGGTATGCTTGTACTAGTTAAGCTTCTATCGAGTTTGATTTTTTTTTTAAAATTTTTTTTTTCATTTAATGCTTGTGAGTCCATTGGATCCGTTGCTCTCCCATGGGCATGCTGCTGCTGTCATCTGTGTGAGTAGCAGCCCACAAAGTATGCGTAAATTGTGTATGCTTTTATCGAGTATGCATCTATTGAGTACGCTACCTTTGAATCCGACGCTGTTCATAGGCATGTTGGTGGCTGTTGTCACCTGTGTGTGAGTGGTGCTATTAATGAGCTTATCGAATATGCTTCTACTGAGTATGAAGCTGATTGAGTGTTGCCCTGTTTGTTCACTACAGCAATGTGACTCGCCATGTAGGTTCATGTAGGTTCGTGACAGTCCATGAAGGTTCCTGACAGTCCGTGTAGGTTCGTGACTGTCCGTGTAGGTTCGTTACAGTCCATGTAGGTTCGTTTAAATTCACGTCCCTCACCCACACCCACGTTGTTCAGTTTGAGTTATTTCATATCCCAATAAAAACGCCTCCCGCCCACCTCCCCCACGGATTACCTTCTCCAATTATCCCTCGCCAGCTGTCTGCCAACGTGGCATATCTCTGCATCCTTCCTGCTCAAGGTGAGAAAGCGTGTGGTGCACGCACTCCACTTGCTGTTCATGTGTAGTATTCTACGTTCCCCTCGCCATCCATCAGTTGCCAGCTGTCTGCCAACGTGGCATATCTCTGCATCCTTCCCGCTCAAGGTGAGAGGGCGTGTGTCGTCGTGCGGCGCTTGTTTACTGCTATTTTACGCCACCTTCTGAGAATTGCAAGTGTGGCATTTTGCATAGATTATCCGTGTAGAATTGGTGTTTGGCCCAGTAGCAGGCATACTGGTTGATTAGATTCAAATAGTTCCGCTGCTAAAATAAACCATAACCCTTCACCGTCTCCGGATCTCCTTCCTCGTCCTTCCAGCCATAGGCATATCACAGGTGGTGGTGGTGGTGGATTCAGTGGCGCTCGTGTTCGGCCCGGCAGCAGGCAGGCTGGTGACAACGGGCGCTATTTGAGTCGACTCAAAACAAGCGCTAGACGGCAGGCTGGTGGCTTCAAGCAACTCTCTCATGCCCCTCATCTCATCTCCACCCTTTTATCACCTGTCTCCTCTTTCCAACCTCACCCCAGCCATTGGGATATCTCAGGTGGTGGCGGTGGATTCAGTGGCGCTCGTGTTCGGCCCCGCAGCGGGAAGGCTGGTGGCGCTGCTGGTGGCGTTCAATGTGCTGGGCTCGGCTAATGGCACTCTGCTGTGCAACGCACGATACTTTGTGAGTTGCATGCAAGCAAAGCAGGCTGGCACGGAAACAGGCAATCAGGCAGGCAGGCGGCAGGCAGGCTGGTGGCGCTGCTGGTGGCTTTCAACGTGTTGGGCTCTGCCAATGGCACTCTGCTGTGCAATGCACGATACTTTGTGAGTCGCATGCAGCTGCAGCAGCAGCAGCAGCAGCAGCAGCAGCAGCAGCAGCAGCAGCAGCAGGAGGAGGCACCCCTCCCCCTCCCTATATTCTACTTTCGTCCAGTACGCGATGGCAAGGGAGGGTCGCCTCCCTCCCTCGCTGCTTTGCAGCTCTCACTTCCTTCCTCTTAGCGTTCCTATCCCCTCCTCCCTTTCTAATGATCGTGTTTTTGAGTCGACTCAAAAACACTTCCTTTCTCTTAGCGTTCCTATCCCCTCCTCCCTTTCTAATCATCCTCCGCGGTCTCCCTACATTCTACTTCGTCCAGTACGCAATGGCAAGGGAGGGAGGGACGCCTCCCTCCCTCGCTGTGTATGGTTTTTGAGAATTCTCAAAAAACACACGCGATGGCAAGGGAGGGTCGCCTCCCTCCCTCGCTTCTCCCACCCTTTCCCCATCAATCCCACCACAATGATGCTCCTCCTCCCCTCTTTCACTCTCCCTCATCTAGGGAGGCCCGTCTGCCTCGCTTTTTCCAGCTGTACCCTCCACACTCCCCCTCACCCCTTTCAACCCCCCTCCCACCCCTCTCCACCCTCACTGCTCAAACAACAGTACGCCATGGCAAGGGAGGGTCGTCTGCCTCGCTTCTCCTGCTCTTACACCATCTATCCCCGCCTCACCTCACCTCACCTCACCTCACCTCACCTCACCTCACCTCACCTCACCCCACCTCACCTCACCCGACCCCACCTCACCTCACCTCACCCCACCCCATCCTTCATCACAGTACGCCATGGCAAGGGAGGGTCGTCTGCCTCGCTTCTTTGGGGCTGTAACCAAGTCCGGTGCTCCCTACGCTGCTCTCTGCCTCATAGTGAGCCTACCGCCCTGTGCCTTATAGTGAGTTTATGCTGCTCCCTGCCTTATAGTGAGTCCACTACGCTGCTGCGTACGTCACAGTAGGTCTGAGAAGTGAGATTTCTAACTTATATATATATACATATATATACATTATTATTATTTTCCGCGCGCGCGCGAAAGCTCTCCTGCAGTAATGGGTTGCCTGTCTGTTGCGTATCTCATCTTCGATCTTTCATCCATCACCTTCCCTCTCTCCGTTCTTCCTTCCTTCTTTCTCCCTCCCTCTCAACCTCCCTCTCTTCACCCAGGGTGGCTGGACCATGGTGCTGCTCTTCTTTGCAGCCAATCAGCTTGAGAAGGTAAGGAGCTGTAGGTACAGGTGAGTGATTGACATGCATGGAGAGCGATTGCCATTTGCAGTTAAGTTTGCTTTTGAGGCGCCATGTTCCTAGGGTGGGTGGACCATGGTGCTGCTCTTCTTTGCAGCCAATCAAATGGAGAAGGTAAGGAGATGTGCTGCGCTGCACGTACAAGTGATTGTACATGCATGATCAACGAAATGGTATGGGTGGTTGTTGTCTTCACTCAGGGTGGCTGGACCATGGTGCTGCTCTTCTTTGCAGCCAATCAGCTGGAAAAGGTAAGGAGCTGTAGGTACAAGTGATTGATTGACATGCATGGAGAGCGATTGCCATTTGCAGTTAAGTTCGCTTTTAAGGCGCCATGTTCACAGGGTGGGTGGCTGGACCATGGTGCTGCTCTTCTTTGCAGCCAATCAGCTTGAGAAGGTAAGCAACTGCAGGCACAAGTGATTAGCTAGCCCATGCAAGGAGCTGCACGAGGAGCGAAATGTTAGCAGATCTTGGGACATTTTCCAGTGAGCAGCACTTCTCATGTAGGGGACAAGTGATTAGCTAGCCCATGCAAGGAGCTGCACGAGGAGTGAAATGTCATTGCTCCACGTGCCAATGCCACATATGGCCTTCCTGTTCTGCACAGCTTCCCAAATAGTCTCCTCTACTTTAGCATTGCCACGTGGCCTTTCCACGGAGCAGAAGCAGCGGCACTACGAGGCGATAACCTGTTCTGTAGAGCCGTCACAGCAGACGACTTTTGAGGCGCCTCAAATATGGGCTTTCCACGGAGCAGAAGCTACAGCACTATGAGGCGATAACCTGTTCTGTAGAGCCACCGGAGCAGCTGCAACCCGCACTCACCGAGACCTGCGCGTGTTTCCTCCTTCCCACTGTGCCTCCCATCCGCAGCTTCTAGACTATTTCGGCATCGCAACGTGGATATTCTATGGGGCGGTGGCAGCAGCTCTCTTCAAGCTCCACAACCCCACACATCTCCCTCCTATGCCCACCTCATTCCTTTCCCCTCAGCTTCTAGACTATTTCGGCATCGCAACGTGGATATTCTATGGGGCGGTGGCAGCAGCTCTCTTCAAGCTCCGATGGGCCTTCCCCAACGGCCCAAGGCCGTATGAGGCTCGTTTCTACCCGCTCCCTCCCGTGATTGCGCTCGTCGCTGCCGTGTGAGTGCAATTATCGCTGCCTTGAGGGTGTGTGTGCTGGTGTGGTGTTTGTTATAGACCCTTGAACACCCCTAGTGGCCCAAGGCCGTATGAGGCTCGCTTCTACCCGCTCCCTCCCATCATTGCTCTCGTCGCTGCCGTGTGAGTGTGGGTGCGGGTGCGGTTGCGGTTGCGGTTGCGGGTGCGGGTGTGGGTATGGGTGCGGGTGTGGGTATGGGTGTGGGTATGTGTGTGTGTGTGTGTGTGTGTGTGTGTGTGTGTGTGTGTGTGTGTGTGTGTGTGTGTGTGCGCGCGCGTGGTTGTGTGCTATGGAGCTACACACATTCCCAATGGGCCGCGGCCGTATGAGGCTCGCTTCTACCTGCTCCCTCCCGTCATTGCGCTCGTCGCCGCCGTGTGAGTGTGTATGAGAGTATGTGTGTGACTGCACTATTGAGCTTTGAAATCTCTCATCAGCCCAAAACCCTATGAGGCTCGCTTCTACCCGCTCCCTCCCGTCATTGCTCTCGTCGCCGCCGTGTGAGTGTGTATGAGAGTATGTGTGTGACTGCACTATTGAGCTTTGAAGTCTCTCATCAGCCCAAGGCCCTATGAGGCTCGCTTCTACCCGCTCCCTCCCGTCATTGCTCTCGTCGCTGCCGTGTGAGTGTGGGTGTGGGTGTGGTTGTGCGTGTGCGTGTGGGTGTGGGTATGGGTGTGGGTGTGGGTGGGTATGTGCTGAACACTCGTAATGGCCCGAAGCCGTATGAGGCTCGCTGCTACCCGCTCTCTCCAGTCATTGCGCCTGTTGCTGTTGTGTGAGTGAGGGTGTGTGTGTCGATGTGGGTGTGCGTATGAACACCCCTAGTGGCCGGAGGCCATATGAGGCTCGCTTCTACCTGCTCCCTCCTGTCATTGCTCTAGTCGCTGCTGTGTGAGCGAGGGTGTGTGTGTCGATGTGGGTGTGGGTGTGCTGTATGGGCCTATGAACACCCCTAGTGGCCCGAGGCCCTATGAGGCTCGCTTCTACCTGCTCCATCCCGTCATTTCTCTCGTCGCTGCCGTGAGTGAGGGTGTGTGGATGTCGGTGTGGGTGTGGGTGTGGGTGTGGGTGTGGGTGGGTATGTGCTATGGACCTATGAACACTCTTAATGGCCTGAGACCGTATGACGCTCGCTGCTACCTGCTCCATCCCGTCATTGCACTCGTTGCTGCTTTGTGGGTGTGTGAGGGTGCAATGGTTACTGCTGTACGAGTGTGTGAGTGAGTGTGCAGTGGTTACAGCTGTACGAGTGTGAGTGTGTGCAGTGGTTACAGCTGTACGAGTGTGTGAGTGAGTGTGCAATGGTCACTGCTGTACAAGTGTGTATGAGTGAGTGTGTCATTGAGGCCGTATGAGGCTCGCTTCTACCAGCTCCATCCCGTCATTGTGCTCGTCGCTGCTGTGTGAGTGTGCAATTGGTTGATACTGAGTGAAATTGTGAATGTGAGTGTGAGTGTGTGCTATAGAGCTATGGTATGTTATTACCATTGCATGAATGCTCTTGCTGTAAGCTTTTGCATCCTAATGCTCCTCCTATGCAACTTTCATTGCAATATGACTTATGTCCTCCTTTCCCCGTGCTGTGGTGCCTTTGAATGTTACAGATTTCTTGTAATAACGTCGCTATTCGCTCATCCAGTTCCTTCAATGGCGTCGCTTGGCTTTGTATTTGTTGCTTTCCCTTTGTACTATATTACCAAGTGGTTCCAAGGCCAACGTCAGCCTTCATCCACCAATGCTGTCAATCAGGGTTTGTTGCGATGATTCTTTCTTTCAGGTTGATTTATATCAGTGGATTTTCTTGTATGCTTGCCTTCTCAGCTTCATTGGTATCCCATAAGCTTTATTGGCGTGTGGCTGGCACATACCATGGTTGTTACTGTACATTATCAAACTCGGTTGCGGGCTCGACCACCACTAGCGGGGCAACGCGGTTTGGTGGTGAACCAATTGTCCATGCTTCTCACAGCATTTGCTCAGTTACAAGCATGCCATAGAACTGCATGAATTGTAGAACTCCACTCAACCGTTCTGAGAAGCATTCAACCATGTTTTCTTGTTCACTACTGCATCAATCTGATTTATGCCGTCACTAGCTATCCATTTGACCCAGTTGCACAGGTAAAGAAACACAATCTCGCATGCTACTTTTCTTGAACGTTCGAAATCGCACTTAACCGCTTTTTCCCGCGACCACTCCTACTCAACCGCGTCAAACGACACCGACGAAAACAACTACATACTGAATCTGCCACCTAATCACACAGCATTCTTCCCACCTAAGGGCGTATCCCTGGGTGGTGGCAGGGCCACTGTAGATGGCAGAGTTGGTGGCATGCGGGAAAACCGCATGCCACCAACATTTTTAACGAGGCGCGCGCGACTCGTATTTGGTGGCATTGAAGTGACATTTTTGGGGCATTGCCCAATCACGCACCTGTATTCGCGTGCCAAATTTCCTGACACCAACCTGGCGTTTTATGTGTTCGTGGCAGGCTGCCATCTACAGTGGCCCTGCCACCACCCAGGGATACGCCCTAACAAGCTAGTATCCATTGCACTCAATTGTTGGAACGTCGGATGCGGTTCTTTGACGAGGCCTGTTTGAATGGGTGCGCGCTCGCACCATCTTGTGCGCGAATCTTTCTTCTGGTTGCTCCGGTCGACAAGGCGAGGAGGCGAAGCGCGAAAATGTTATGCGCGTATTTGGTATCTCAGTTTCCTCGACGCTTAACTCCTTACCGGGCAATGGCTGTTCTGAAAGACGCGCTTGCACTTTAGGAGATGCATCTGATTGCGAAGCTCGTGAGCGACTTCCCATAGATCTAGATCGACGAACATCAGGCTTCTCCGACGAGTTGTCGTCGAGCGGACTTAGACCATACTCAGAAATAACCGTTGCGATTGGGATCGTGTCATAACTGCTCCGCCGCCCCGGACGAGGCGGCACCTGCGCGCCGCGTCTGCCTGAAACCGGCGTGGAGCCAACATTACCATTAGTGATACCATTGGGGGGGCTGAAAGTATTATAATCGCCACTTCTGCATGTAGTACTATCAGCAGATGATGTCGTATCGCTGGGTGCGCTACTGCTTCGAGTGAATCCGATCAAGGATTCTGTCGATGCGCTATTCTTCACTCCAGACACAATCGCAGCTTGCAATGTCAGATCTTGCCAACTGTTGTCGCCGTCTCCCCGCTTATGCGATGCTTCGATTAAGTGGTAAGTCACTCCGCGTCTCAACGGGCGGGAAGGGGGGAGCGGAACCGGCGCGAACGTAGAAAGCGCGACTTGGTGTCGTGGAAAGTCACCCATGATGTCTGCGACGAGCAGGCTGCCTGCGACGTCGTCGTACAGTCGCACGCTTCCATCCGTCAAGACGACGATGACTGGATGCGAGGAACGTCCGGCAAAGCTCTTAGTCCGACGAGTAATCCTGGTTCTTGACATCTCAGTTGGCTTCCGCGAAGCGCCACGATCGGAGCTACCATCATGACTGGGTTGCCGATCATAATCATGCGATAATGGATTATCATAAGTGGCGTCGGAACCGTTACAGTAACTGGAACCGCAAGGTACGTCTTTCCCCGACTGCTCTCCCACCTTCTCCGCGCTTTTCATCCGCCTTAAAGCCAGTTTTCTTTCCTTCACACTGAGAGGCAGGCGGAGCTGGGGTGGGCTGCCAGTGCTCCCCGACGGATGACCTTTTATACGCCTTAACGCGTGCTTCATCTCCGTGACGCTGGGAGGCAGGCAGAGCTGGGGTGGGCTCCCGGATTGAGGAACAAAGGTAGCCGCTGCTGACGTGGCTTGCTCACCGTCGCGGCGGCTCTCGCAGCCGCTCATGCTTTGGGTGCGACAATGGCGACGACGGCCGTTACTTGCGGCGCGATCCCCGGGAGTGATTTTGCGGTAGCTCTGACTGCGATCGAGACGAGGGATGACGTTATGTTGTTTGCATGCCAAGGTTGAGCCTCGGACTTGTCGTGAATCCATGATTGCGGCGAAACTCACGGGGGTAGCTCTGGCAAGCTATGGTAGTACTGTAATGTTGCACAAGGTCTTCGTGTGCGCTCCTAAACAGAAATCCGCTTTTCCGTAATCAGCTCCCCGCAGCCTTATCTTTCTCAAGCAACGCAGTGATTGTCAAAGCGAATCGCGACGAAATCGGTGGAGATGAGTTGATTGGCCACTTGTACGTTGGCCATACTTGGCGTGTACCACCCGAATCTCAAGGGCTGAAGGATGAGTGATGTAGCGTATATTTGTCGCGAAGCTACAGTTGCAAACCCGTGCCGCTCACGCTCTTCGCTGCGGTTAGATGGCGCCGACTATGGCCCAAACTACCGCACCTTCTCACGAACCCTCAATCTCAACTTTCTCGTCGTATCCCTCCTGTGGGTGTTACTGCTGTAGAGGACGCCATATGATCACTAAGGACGATCTGTATGGGAAAGACCATATCCAGCATAGAGTTTTTGCACGAAGTGGGGAAAAACCAGATTACCCAAGTGGATCGCGGAACTCGTCAATCAGCTGTAACTATGGCGAACTAGGAGCACCAATCTGCTGCACATGTGAGTGTACATGGGCGAAGGAAGCGCAGCATAGCGAAACTTTTTCAGCGAAACGATATAAGAGTCGCTCTGCGGACAATGTGCTGTCTGTGGCTCGTCCTCCTGGGATCAAATCGAAATCGTGCAATCCTGTCAAGACAGCTGGAGCACACTGGGGATTATTGTCGAGGGGGCTTGAAAACGAGAGGCTATAGAATGGCTGCACTAGAAGTATAGTCCGTGATAGGAATGAAGAATATACAATGTGTCAATAATAACAAAAACAGGGAAATTTCAGCCATTGATTCTTTAATGCTGTTGGGACTACTGTAACAGAAATGAAAGAAATTTTGTATAAACTAGATCTTGATTGCACAAATCCATTATCCTATTTTTATTGTTAACTCAACACTAATTGTTGTTGA